TTATAATTATTAAAAAAGGTATAAATATAATAATAGCTATTATTTTTATAATAATTAATTAACGTATTGTAAGTGTGAAGTTAATATAGCTATTATTTTTATAATAATTAATGTGAGTAATATAAAATGGTAAGCGTGACGTTAATATAATTATTATATATATAATAATTAACGTATTGAAAATTGGAAATAATTAAAAAAGGTAAGTTATAAAATTGCAAAGCGTAAGGTTTTTAATAAAATTGGAATCAATGTATTATATGCTAATAATTAACCAACGTTATTTTGAATACTGATTGGAAACGTCTGAAATTATGGTAAAAATAAGTAACTATCATTTTAACCATCGGAAGTTAATATATTTATTTTTATAATAATTAACGTGAGTAATATAAAATGGTAAGCCATCGGAAGTTAATAAATCATTATATTTATAATAATTACCATATTAAAAAATGTAAGTTATACAAATCCAAAGCGTATGTTTTTAATATAGGTAAGTTATACAAATGCAAAGAGTAAGTTTTTGAAAATTGGAAATAATTAAAAAAGGTAAGTTATACAATTATACACCCAGTTTCGAAAAAAAATAATTATGGTAAGAATAATTACACCCAATTTCGAAAAAAGTTAACCCTTCTTATTATAATTATAATTATAATAGCCTATAGCCTATTACAATTAAATATACTATAAATATCCCCACAAATTGTACAATAATGTAATGTATAAAGAAGTCTTTCGAATTTTGTAAAACAATGATGTTTTTAACCTTAAAATAATATAATCTCTATATTTTATTGCATCTCATTTTTATTTTAAAAAATAATTTGAATTTAATAACATAAAAATGACCTGTGCAACGCACGGGTGTGATACTAGTAAAACCTAAAAAAACTCAAAATTTGTATTTTATAAAAGAATACGAACTGAATATTTTAATTTAATATCGAATTGAATACGGATAATAACAATTATTCAAATAAAAAATGAATATGAATACTGAAATTTTTTTCAAATACAAATAAATTTCATAATTTTCGATTCGAATGGTTCATTTTACATCCCTTGTCTCTAAGTATTGTTGCACATTTTCAAATTCAATCTCAGCCGGTTCAATTCCGGTCCATATTTTTGGGCTTGGCTTTTCCTTCATGTTTTTTTGTTGGGGGAAAAAGACTCGTGATTTGTGACGCCCAGCCCAGCGGCCCCAATGCCCGGCCCACCCTTGGTTTTTTCTTCAACTCTATCTTAGCACCTTTGGGAAGACTTTCTGTTTGTTTCCTTAAAAACAATTGTCCCTCATCTTCCTTTAATGCTCCGTACTCCGTTAGAACGCTGGTTTTAGCAACCAGAAAAGGACCACTTTGTTTCATTTTGGCTATTGGGTAGCCTCACCNNNCCCCCCCCCCCCCCCCCCCACAACGTACCACAGCAGGTGATACAACTGTGGCATTGTGCCATTCATTGACCATTGTGGTGAAATCTTGAATGGTTTCCCTCTTTCTCATTTCTGTTACTCCTTTTTCAGTGAAAGAATTCATTTATTACCCCTCAGAAGAAGAAGAAGAGAAATAATTTCTGGGTCGGTCTATTTTCTATCACATTGAGAAAAAAATCCAGTCTTGGCAGTTAATTCACCATTCCTTATTGTTTTAACTCTGGCATTCTTGATTTCCTTGCATGTTTTTTCATGGTTGATGTATAACTTTGTTGATGGGTTTGTTTCAGTGCTGGGGTTTGAAGGTTTTATCCCAGGGGAGTCTCCAAGAGTAGAAGTGACTACCTGTGGACATGACTCATGAGCGGTCCAAGAGGTATTTTCAGCTTGAAAAGGCCAATTTGCCCGGCACAGTAATTGAATTCACTGAAGCACAGAGACATGATTTTCAGTGTGCATGTGTCTGTGTGTCTGTGTGTGTTTATTGTTTAAGGTTGAATATAATGTTTTATTTCTAATTAATGGAAATGGAAAGACTTGGCAGTTCTGAATTGAGTTATACTTGTACCATTAGATAGGTAATAGTCCAACTGTCCAAGGCAGAGTTATGCCACTTTCATTTTAACTAATAGACTTATATGGTTTGGTTCTTGCTAATGTCTAACTTTGGAAAAAAATCTTCTTCCACCAACTATAAAAGATGTAGATTTTCTCACCTTATTGCCTAAGTTTTGTTTGAGCTTACCCATTTCTGGCCTTCTTGTGTGAATTTTCTTCAAATAAAGTTTTCTGGATGTACGAGAAAAGGAAGAAGATAGTTTCATCCATAATTTTGATGCGTCGTATGGTTTGAAGTTGGTAAGGAAGCTTTCGAATTCCCCTTGCATTGTTTTCCCTATTCCCTTTGAATATGTGAAATCAATACTCTCATAGCTTAAGTAGAGTGATGGGTTCTTTCTCACTAAGGATATGGAGCACTCAGATGATTCCATGAAGAGAAAGAAGAAACCACTGTCATCTAACACCATGGTCCAAAGTTCACTTAGGCAAGATGTATGACAAAAACTAGACATTTTCTTATAACTAATTCATTCGTTTCTGGCAGAGTTTCCGGGGGGTGAAACAAAATTTTTAACCTTATTCTGTGTAGATAATGCAACTGGAGAAAAGACTGCAGAGCCAACTTGCTGTGCGGTGTGCTCTGGAGAAAGCATTAGGGTATAGGTCAACTTCTCAGAACACCACTGATGAAATCTCAATTCCTAAGGTAGCTTCTAAGCTAAAAATAATATTTCTTCCACGCAAAAAAGACATTGCCACTTTCTTTTTAAAAATGTTCTTGCAAGTTACATACTATTTATATCGCGGTGAAGAGATTTGTGTAATTTAAATTGTAGCCTGCCACAGAACTGATTAGAGAAATAGCTGTATTAGAGTATGAAGTGGGGAATTTGGAAAAGTACCTCCTTTCATTATACCGGAAAGCATTTGATCCTCAGAGTTCAACCCCCTCCCCACCTCCCGAACATGATGACAAGCTAAAATCCCCAGTAAGCACCCCAAGAAGGAGAAGGCTCGATTTTTCAAAACCGGGTGAGATATTGAAGAGTGAAACCCCCACAATTGAACATAAAGAAAGCTATGGCATGGCAGAAGACAAGCTTTCAGATTCTAGAGTTAAGCGGAGTCATTCCTCCCTCTCTCAGCATTCAGATTTGTCAAGCAGAACTTCCCCTCCTCAAGAAAAAGCCATGAGTACTTTTCATTCTCAGCCCCTATCTATGATGGAGGTAAGTTCATCATCATCATCATCACCATCACCATCACCATCATCATTACCGGTTCGGATTTATTATAATCTTTTGATATTTCAGGACACACGAAATGCTTCTTCAAATATAATCAGCTTGGCAGATCATCTAGGAACCCATATTTCTGATCATATTCCAGTGTCACCAAACAGGTTGTCAGAGGAGATGATAAAGTGCATGTGCACTATATACTGCAAGCTAGCTGATCCAACAAGAACAACTCAGGATCTTTCATCTCCAACATCATCTTTCTCATCAGTAACTGCATTTTCTCCAAAAGACCAGCGCGAAATATGGAGTCTTGGAATTAGACATGGTTCGTCTTTTGATGTCCGTTTGGATAATCCTTTCCACGTTGAAGGGTTGAAGGAGTTCAGTGGTCCTTACAGCTCAATGGTAGAAATACAATGTATCTACAGAGATCATCAGAAAGTCCGTGATATTGAGCCCTTTTTACAGAATTTCAAGTAAGGGCATTTAATTACAGTAGGATTCTCATGTCATGGTGCATTTACACTATGTTTGGTTCGAGGAATTTGTCGCAAAAAAGAAAAGAAAATGATATGAAAAATAATTTTTCTTGTTTGGTTAGAGAGGAAAAAAAAGTGGTAGAAAAAGTAAATGAGAGGAAAAAGTAGACTTGCATGGAGAAATAAATTTTCTTCCAATTTGGTGAAGAAATGGAGGAAATCCAATTTAGTACTTGTCAAGGAACCAACTCAACCACAAGCTCAAGCTTGTGGTTGTGGCCCAGGAAATGTTTCTTATATTCAACAGTACTCCCTCCATCCCACCACAGACATGCTCCCTATGCTTTTCAATGACTGTCCATTAAGCGAAAAAAATATCATCTTTAAGGTGATCATTAATTTCTTCATAAATTGACAAACATGCTCCTCTTCATTTTTAGGTATTAATTAATTAAAGTAACTAGGAAAAGGGAAATAAAAATGTGAGGATCATCTTAGTCATTTTAATACGGATCATGACAATCGTTTTTTGTTTTCTAAGCGGAGTATCCACTATCTTTCAGCATCGAGATTAGGAAACAATTTTTATCTTGGAACTCGAAACACTTGTGCAATTCCCATTTTCACTCACGGAGTAGATACTTAAATGGAAAATTAAATGCACACTCATTAAAGAAAGTATACTATCTTTGTGATTAAAGAAAAAACACTATATATATCTTTTTTGGACAAACAAATGGAATCCTGGATTATATTATATTTGTATGACAAATGGGTTTTTGAGTACTATTAACTCTATTCAATGTAGTATCTCTCCGACTGTCTATACATACTCTCTCAACCTACTGATGTGACAAATGCTTAATGAAATGCAAATAATGTAGGTTACTTATATCCCGATTAGAAGAAATGGATCCTCGAAAGTTGACTCACGAGGAGAAACTTGCATTCTGGATTAACATACACAATGCATTGGTGATGCATGTAATGCTAATTCTTCTTTGAATATGTAAATGTTTCTTTTCAAAAAGAAAGAGGAAAGTCGTTTGTTAGTAGTAATGTTTTATTCACTGCAGGCATTTTTGGCATACGGAGTTCCACAAAACAGCATGAAGAGATCAATCCTTCTCTTGAAGGTTCACAAATTAAACCGGTTTCTATTCCGAGTTCACTTTATTTAGGAAGTAATGTCTTATGGCTTCGTTGTCCTAGCAGGCGGCCTATAATGTTGGGGGCCACGTAGTTAGTGCCGATGCTATTCAGAATTCTATTCTCAAGTGCCGACCCCCTCGACCCGGGCAGGTAAAGTTTTCAAGCAATAAAAATGAGTTCCATTGTGTATTAGTAGTATTGTATAGACTGCCGAGGGCATAGCTTAGTTGGTCATGCTTTGTACAGACAATAACTGTCGGCGCAACTTTATTTTTTTTGGAGTACTGTATATGCACAAGTGCTTTTTCAGGCCTCGCACTACCTTACATTGATTGGAATAGAAGTAAGGTCTGTGTGCATCTCACTCGCCATATTCTACTCTTGCAGTGGATTCGCTTGCTACTCTTATCGAGAGGCAAGTTTAAGGCCGGGGATGAACGCCAGGAATATGTGATCAAACATCCAGAACCGCTCGTGCATTTCGCAATGTGATCAACCATTCCGATCCTGTGGTATTTAGTGTTCATAAAACCTTCCATTTCGTCCTATGTTATGAGTGTGTTTATATAATTTGATCAACAATAACTACAGATATTGATTGTCAAAGTGTGATACTGGATACCGTAAAAGTCAAACCGCGACATTCTTGATATATACGGAGTAATATTTTTCCTCGATGGGTTATACTTTTTTTTTATCATACAATATTCCAGGTCCGAGTATACACGCCGAAAAGAATATATCAAGAGTTGGAAACAGCAAAAGAAGAGTACATCAGGGCCACATTTGGCATGAGGAGTGACCACAAAATCCTTTTACCAAAGATGGTCGAGTCATTTGCCAAGAACTCGGGGTTGTGCTCCGCGGGCATTATCCAAATGCTGGTTCAGTCTTTGCCCGACTCCCTGAAAATGAGCGTTAAAGGGATGTCGGGAAAGAACATTGAATGGGTCCCGCACAGCTCCACATTCCGGTATCTCGTATCGAAGGAGCTGTCTCAGTGATTGCCTGCTTGCTCCCAAGAAGGTAGCTAGGAAGGGTATATATGTAATTTCCCATTGATAGAATGGAGATGGTTGTTTGTATGCAGCAGGATGTTGAATATGGTGATTGTGTTGGTTCTAAACAACTCTGGCAAAAAATAATTGATGTTTTATACTGTGTTTTGAGTTCACTCTCTATTCTTTTGAGTTCTCTTCTTAATTAGAACTTTTTTGCACCCGTGAAAAATGTCGCCCCCCCCCCCCGGGACCGAAGAAAAGTAAATGTGCATTATATTTCTCGCACAGACAACAATAAGACATGTCTGTGAAATGCAAAACAATTAAGTGATTAAACATATATGGTATATACACATGTATGATGTGTACAGAGAGTTTAATCTTATTTGAACACAAGAAATTAGTAAAACTGGAGTGACATAATAAAGACAGAAGTGTCGATTCATTTAGAGCAAGTACAATACGGGCTATTGGCAACCCCGACCGCCTCACCGCAGCCAGCTGTGTTTGGGCCACACTTGGGAACGCAGAAGTCTTTACATGTTTGAGGCACAATGTAGGTGTTGGTTGTGCTGTTGTAACCGCAGCCGATATCAAAGTTTACACGGGCACAACTCACATGCAACAGGATCACTTGCAGACCTCATCACTCCAACTGCATTAAAAAAAAATATTTGAATTAGGGGATGAGCCTAAACACAAAAACATATACTCTGATGCTACTTGGACTGTTAAAGAGTATCCCACATCAGAACTGAAGAGAAAAAAAATTGGTATATAAGCTCTTGAGTTGGACTGAATAATCGATTGAATTCAATCTTTTAATATGGTTCGACCCAAGTGTCTTATGGTCTAATCTAGTGATTCCTATCCCATTCTAAATTCTACCATGGTATTAGAGCTAGTTTATGGTCCTTTAGGTGTTGGCGCTCAAAAAAAATTAAGGGGATGAGAGTCCATTTGCAAGTGGTCAATCAGTTAGATTCAAAATAACTTGATTATCCACTTGAGAGAGAGTGTTAAAGAGTATCCCGTATCAGAAGTTGAAGAGAAAACAAATCAGTATATAAGCTCTTGAGTTAGATTAAATAATCGATTGAATTCAATCTTTTCATATGATTCAACTCAAGTGTGAAGTGTCTTATGGTCCCCATCCAGTGATACCTACCTCATTCTAAATTCTATGTATCATGGACAATCTACGGTGCTCTGTTGGAGTCCTTATCGAGTCATGCTAGAAACCCACCGCGGTTGACAACCATATAGGAACACACAGATAGTTCACATACAATTATCGTCAGACGGTTGTCATTTGTGGTGGATTTCTAACATTTTTGGTCTTGAAACGACCAAGGTTGTCTTAGAGTATATAACTTCCGTTAGATCGAGAATAGAAAGATCTTTCTTGGATCTAGTTACAACCACATGGTAAATTAGTTTTTGGTTGAGTTAGATTTTTAACATGATATTGGAGACTTGTTGACCAAGATGTGACAAGATCAGAACTCTTTGTTAATCTAATAAACTCTCTATTTTAATTCTCTCTGTCATATTTTGAATAGTTATGTAGTTACAGAGTATGATAAAAGTTTAACTTCATTAGAATTTTTCTTTTTGAAAATTAAACAAATGTTTATTTTAATAGAAAATTAAATAAAGTAAATGTTAATTTTTCTCAAAAAAAATTATTTTTAACAATATAAAAATGTTTATACACACAGTAAATATTAAGAAGATTTATGAATATTTAAGTGGCCCTTAAATCAACCTAAGAAAATATAGTGAACATAGGGGGTATATGTATAAGTATTTACTTTAGTATGGAGTATATAATTCAAAGAAATTCCCATCTTACAAAAATAACTGTACATAATAAAGATGCACAATTGATGCATGTTTTACCTATGAGTAAAAGAACCGCGGCAATGAGGAATCCAAAGGATGAGAGGAACTTTGCCATTTTCGAAGCAATTTAAGAATTTTAAGCAATATATATGACTAAATTTCGTTGTTATATTTTTTTATTATGGCTTGAGTTCTCGAAGAATCGAGCCCTCTAGGCTCTAAATATATATATATATATATATATATATATATATATATATATATATATATATATATATATATATATATATATATATATATATATATATATATATATATATATAGCTAAAGAGCAAGCATCTTTTGACTTTGGAATCTCAGATCATATTATGACCTGGAGCCCTACGTTGCTACGTTCGTAAAATTAATGGTTCATACCTCTCCTAACTCCTTGAACCCTACCCCTACTTGACCACCCCACCACAGCACCCTCTGCCCCCCTCCCCATTTTGCCTATAGAGCAAGTATGGGTAGGGAGTAGGGTTTAGGAGAGGGACTAAAGAGGTAAGAATCATCAATTTTATTAATAAAGCACTGTAGGAGTTCCGGATCGTAATATGACCCGAGCTTCTAAGGTCAAAAGAACCATTTTGATAGCAAAAATTAAAATTATTGAACTCTATGAGACGACGTACACCGTATGTAATTTACTTCCACCCTTTAACCCCCTCCATTTAAGGGTCTTTTGTTCCCTTTGCCTAAGGTGTTGTTTGAAATTCAAAAAGAAATTTATTGAATAAAAAAAAGTGTCTGCAGAGAAAATTTCTTCAAACATTCCGCAGTTGCGGCTACACGCCGTTACTCGTCTGTAAAAACATCTTTTATCAAAATGGCATTTTTCCGGTGCATTATCTTGACATGGATTATTATTTTATGACTAAACTTATGGGTGTTAATAATCTAAAATATATTTTACATAGGGTCTGTTTGGAAATTTTAACGGTGCAGATTACTTTAAAAACGCTAACGCTAAACCATGTCCATAAATAGCTTTTCCAAAACGCTAACGCTAATGGCTAAAACTATTCCCAAACAAGCCCATAATCCATCATCCTTTCCTCGTTCTATTTTTTCTTAAGTCTTGTGCCGCGCCTTTTTTTGTAAAAAAAAACGTAATAATTTTCAAATTTTACTCCCTAACGTTTTTTATCTTTTTAAATTTAAACACGACAATCTAATTAAACTTGGACTATATTTTTACACTTTAATTTTGATTAAAGTCTTTAATCTAGAGTCAAGAGTCTGAAATCTAATTAAGTACAATTCTATTATAAAATATTCTGTATATAAATATTTATATTAATTAGTATATGAATAATAAAATATTCCACCCTTTTTTTATTACTTTACTTATTTACTATCTAATCTATGGGGTCAACTTTTTATACGAGTATCAGTGGCGGAGCCAGGGAGGACTTCATGGGGGGCAAAAATTCATTTAATAAATAAACAAAATTCATAATAGTAACTACCATAATTGGCAAACTGTAATTAAACATACCTTCTATTTGTGCAACGGAGTAAGAGTTGTTTGAGGCCGTAGAAAATTTTTCCGAGATGCCAATTTTTGAAAGCGCTGCATAATGACTTCATCATCAATGCTCCTAAAAATTTCTTTCTCAAAGTAGCACAACAGACAATCTGATAAAAGCTCATCTCCTAAACGGTTGCGTAAATCAGTTTTGACAATATTCATCGCAGAAAAACTCCTTTCCACTGAAGCTGTTCCAACAGGTAATATCAATGCCAATTCTATGAGCCAATATATCAAAGGAAAATATGTGTGATAATTCTTCTCCACCATCTTCTTTGCAAGACTTCCAAGATTGGGAATATTAGCAAAAACTTCATTCGATCTCATATCAGAAATGTAATTTTGAAGTTCATGAATAAGCTCAACTTGATCACTAGAACTAAAATCTTCTGAATATAATGCATCAAGTTCCAATAGTCGATCTTGATCAAAACTCGCAAAGCAATTAGAAGGATCAAGACACATTACACATCTTAATAAATTTGTATTTGTCTCTGTAAAGTGTCTATCCATTTCCACAGTAAGAATATCAATGACCTAACATCAAATAAAGAATAATTATAATAATCATAATAACTTATTTAATATGTTATGATATTAAAATACTTCCAAAAAATGATATTAAAATTTAAAATTAATAAGAGTACTATACCTTTGCAAAGATCTCTCCACGAAAATGCACATAATTTGTCATGGGTTCACCACCTACCATCTTCTTTCTTGATCGCCCACGAATATAATCTTCCATGTTAGGTACATCAATTGCATGTTCTTCACAAAATTCACTAACTTCCTTCAAAAAGGCATCCCAACCATGATCTCTAAAATCTTGTAAGTTCTTTTTTACTACAGCAATCATATTCAAAGCACAACTAATATTTTGATCTCATGCTTGTAATATCTTTGATAAGGTGTTAGTCATACCAAGAACTTTTAACATAAACTTTCCAATAAAAACGAACTCAAAAGAATCCATTTTATCAAGAATGCCACTAGCACTGTTTTTAATTTTGAGTGTTTCACCATGCTTGTGTAACGAAGATAGCACTGTACCAATAGCATTCCACATGTCAAAAAGACGAACAAGAGTTTTGTAGTGAGAGCTCCAACGTGTATCACCTGGTCGAGCTAAAGATGTTGCTTGATTTTGCCCCCTACCAGTTGACAATTCACCTATTTCTATGCGATGTAAAGTTTCCTCCTCGTGTACTTGAAGGAGAAAATCCTTGCGTTTGCATGAGGATCCAACTGTATTAACAATCATCAATAGCTTTTCAAAGAAATCAAATACGCTCTCCCTATCTTGTGCAGCTGCAACAATAACTAACTGAAGCTGGTGGGCAAAACAATGAATGTAGTATGCATTCTTGTTTTCATTAAGAATAAGTGTTTTCAACCCATTAAATTGACCGCGCATATTTGAAGCTCCATCATAACTTTGACCTCTTAGTCTTGAAAGGGACAATCCATGTTTTGCAAAAAATTCATCAATTGATTTTTTAAGAAACCTTGCAGAAGTCTCCTCAACATGAACTAATCCAAGAAAACGTTCTATAATCTCCCCTTTATCATTCACAAATCTCAAAATCACTGACATTTGCTCTTTCACAGAGCAATCTCGAGCTTCATCAATCAATAGAGCAAAATTCTTTTTTCCTATCTCATTCAATATGACATTTCTTGTTTCCATTGCACAACTTTCAATAAGATCTCTTTGAATGATAGGAGAAGTCATTTGATTATTTTTAGGAGCATTTGTTTGCATAACTTTTTCAGCATCTACATTGGTCTTACAAAACCAAGATATGAGCTCAAGAAAATTACCTCGATGTATTGACTCAGAAGATTCATCATGTCCTCTGAAAGCTAAGCCCTCCCCCAGTAGATATCGAGCCACTTTTACAACAGTTGCTAATCTATGTTCTCTCTTTGATTAAGATATTGTTGAACTTTAATTCTACAATAAGAATGAGAACTTTCTTTGGTTCCTTCATGGTCAACAAATGCTTTTGGACAATCTTTCCACTTGTTAAATCCAACTTCAGTAAAAGCCTTTGTCCATTTTTGTTTGGACAATCTTCCCGTTTGCTGGCTGGACTTCTTCGCTGCGACTAAGGGGGGCAAATCCGGCGTCTCATCACCGAGGGTACCATAATCCTATTTCGCCGGAATTTCGCCGGGGGGGCACTTGCCCCGGCGTGCCCCCCCACCTCCGCCCCTGTCAGTACCTTTTATTTATCATTTTTATCACGCAATTAGGGATGACAATTCAACCCGAACCTGAGCTTAACCGATCCGACCGAGCACTAAAATATCCGAACCCGAACTAAGAATAAAATAGTCTGAACCCAACCCGAAAGTTTTTATCCAAACCCGACATCGGGTCAGGTTGGGTGTGGGTTTATAATTTTACCCAACCCGACCCGAATCCGCACCCGACCCGACTCAAACCCGAATATTTTATAACATAAAAGTCTATCTATGGATATAATGAGCACTCCGTATAATCTCTTGACAACATGCTACTATATCAAGTATGCCTTTTATAATCATTTTTTATAATTCCTTAATAAAAAATGAAACACAAAAAAAGAGACACAAAAAATAGATTTAATTCTTTTAAAATTATTGGGATACGTCGAATTGATTATTGGTTAAAAGTCGGGTTCGGGTTTTGGATTGAAATGCCAGGTTCATGTCGGGTCGGGGTTTTGGCTTAAAATGTCGGGTTTCGGGTCGGGTTTGGGTTTTAGTTTTAAAAGTCGAGTTGGGTTTGGGTATAGTATTATCCGACCCGAACCCGACCCCTTGCCCTACACGCAATTGATTAAAGACTGTAGTTTTAACCAGAATTAGATTAGTACTGATTTATTATTTTATCAATATTTTTGATACAATTTATGCATATATAAATTACTATTTTTGTTTTACGCCAGTTTTAAATAAGTAGAATTATAATTGATTTCAATCAAATATTTTAAATCCAAATTGATCAAGTAAAAAGAACAAATGAAGTTGTAATCTATTGTTAGTTTTTGAAAAATAATTTCAAAAATATCTTTCAATGAGTTACAGCAGATCTCCTCTTTGCTCGACCATCCTATTTGATCCGCCAAATCATCTCGTGCCACAATTACAACATCGCAGGACACGATGCTCAATCTTCTCTGGTCGAGAAGACTTTCGACACAAGACACGACCTGTAGAGCCCCTTTTGATTTTGGTCATGTTGTTACACAATCACACTGATATTTTCTCAAATTGTGCAGACTATCGCTCATGTCACATACAAAACTATGCTCCGATACCACATATTGGGGTCATGCGTACCACACCCCAACCCCATTCTGCTACTTCTATCATTGTGTCTTAGAAGAAATACGCCTTGGAACTTGTGCATCGTGTGGGTTTGGCCGACTGCAAGCCTACTGTGTCTCCATTGCCTGTTCAGCCGGCTACAACCGCGGGTGGGGGAATGAGCTGTTCACTGACCATACCTTGTTCTGAAGTCAAGTTGGTGGTCTCCAGTATTTTACTATTACTCGCCCTGACATTTAATTTGTTGTGAACTATGTCTGTCAGCGTATGCATAATCCTACGAAAAATGTTTTTCAGAGTTTGAAAGGGACGGTTGTCAAAGGCCTTTTCTTTCAGTCATGTGATCTTCAACTACATGTTTATTCTGATTCTGATTGGGCTAATGACATGACAGATGGATGCCCTTTCACCGTCTATCTCGTATATCTTAGCCCAAATTTAATTTCCTAGAGTACGGAAAATCAGACTCGTGTCTTTAAGTCATCCACTGAAGCTGAATATCGAGCTTTGTTGTCTACTGCCTCTAAAGTTATATGGTTGACTTATATTCTTACTGATCTATGTGTTCTAGTGCCATCGCCACAACTTTTTTTGATAATCAGTCTGCTATCTATCTTACGAAGAATCTAGTGTTTCATAAACGTATGAAGCATGTGGGCACATAGTGTCATTTTGTTCGTGAATAGATTATTGCTGGTACCATGACTGTCTCCCATGCACGTTGATGGACAATAAATCCACTAAATGATCCGATTTGGAGAACGGATCGTAAGAGATGAATTAAGAACAAGAACTCGAGAATTGTGTATCTTTTATTAGCCTGATTCAGCTTGAGTTCTCCCCTTTCGGGTCTCCTCTATATATACATGAGCTCTAGATAATTAAGGTAATGCATAATCAATGGAGTCTATCCCGTCAATGGCGCGATCCCCTTTTTCCGGCTTCGTTTCTGCCATTCGGTTCCGTCTCCTCCTCCGGATTGACTCTGCCAGCTGTTCCTGGACCGGAGGTGACCGGGCCTAACTCTATGGGCCGGCCCGAGCCTGGATATCCTCCAAGCGCCTGACCCAAGTTGCTTAAATGATTCATTTGGGTCGCCCGGTGGGTATCAGCCCATCACACGTATTCTCAGAGGACCAGCTTGCTGATTTGTTGACGAAGTCACTACTAAAGCCACGATTCCAGGCCCTTGTTTCCAAGCTTCCACTCATCCCGCGCGTTCAGCTTGAGGGGATGTTAAACAATAATACTAATCCTAGAATTAGTCTTTATGTTTTAGTCAACTACTATTCTTGTTTCATAGTCCTAGTTGGGGCTGTATTCCCCTTCTATGTATGCACTACCACGTCCTCTATTATGTCCTGAATAATATAGTTGTTCTAATATCTCAATAGAGTTCTCTCATGTTATCCCTTTATATAGAGATGTATATTTCATTATTCAATAAGACCACTTATTATCAAATTGTGTCATGGTATCGAAGTTAAGGTTCTCAAAAACCCAGCCCTTCCTTTTCCAACTGAGCCCACCGCCGATCTCTATTCACGGTGGTTGAGGGTACGACACCATGGCATCACCGGTCTCTATTCCATCCATCATCCCTCTCTTTTTCTCCAAAAAAAATTGATTATCTCTCTCTATCCAAAAATCATTAACTCTCTCTCTCTCTTCCAAAAATATCATGTGCATGATTGGAAAAATGAGAAAGATGCATTTGTTTATGTTTTCTTCTAGAGTCCGAGAGCATGGAAAGCGATAGAGAAGCAAAGAACAGGCCAAAAGGAGAAAAAAAACTCATCGCCCTTGCTTCAATCACCAACACTCTCGCCAGAAAAAACTCAAACGTAATCTCAAGCTCGTTCGTCATACAACGAAGATCTAGTTCTCTACTTATAGAGGCTATCCTCACAAATTTGCTTCCGCCGACTCAATTCCAGTACCTGTGCTCCAAGCTGCTCCCCGTTACCGATGATCAGCTTAATTGCAGGGGAATAATAGGAAATAGAATATACTTCCTCCGTCCCGGAAAACATGGAAGTTTTGGTTTTGGAGAGGGATTTAAGGGGAGTGTATTTTGGTATTGAATTTCCAAAAATGTCCTTTGATGTGATGGGTAAAAGTATGATTTGATGGATAAATTATTAGTAAAAAGGTATGATGTAATAGGTAGGGTATGAAAAAGTAAGGGGTAAAAGTGACTTTTTAATAGAAATGAGAAGTATTTTTTGGGATGGATGAAAAAAGAAAGAAGAAAGGTTTTCTAGGACGGAGGGAGTATATTAGAAATATTTGCACTAAACAGCACTTAAACTTACTCCCTCCGTTTGCAAAAAGACTTCCCATTTTGATTTGGGGGCAAATATAAGGAAGTGTTAAATTATAGTTGATTTCTAATTTTGCCCCTGATGTGATGGGTAAATGTAAGATGTGATGAATAGATTATTAAAGAAAAAGTATGATGTGATAGGTAGAGTATGAAAAATTAAGGGTAAAAGTGGTTTTTTAATAGAAAAGGAAAGTGTTTTGTTGGAAGTGGAAAAAAATGAAAGAGGGAGTGTTTTTGAGAATGGAGGAAGTAAGTCATTTCCCTAAATAGTACTAAAGCTGTTTTATTTCCTAAATAGCATTTAATAATGTCCAGTGATGACGAACATTTACTTGAATAATGACTAATGAATAATGACTAAAAGTTCTACATTAAAAAAACACATGCGATGCTATTTAGGAAAGTCATTATTTTTTTAATGCTATTTACGTAAATTCCCCTATATATTATTAATAACTTTCCTTATTCCTTTATTTTGTTATTGTATTGTTATTATAATTCCTCTCTTACCTGGATTATAATTCTCTCATGTAATCTCTTTATATAGAAATGGATCTTTTATTATTCAATAAAACCAATTATTATCAAATTGTATCACATATCTAACGCATTAAAAGATAGCAGCAATATTGAATGGATCATACTTGGTGTGGTGCACACAAAAAATGTGGGCCAATTATTTTTACACAACATCTTATTTTTTGAACTTCACAGATCGAAAAGGTTCATCTGCAGTCTCACATGCATACAGATAAATTCATTTATGTGTAAGAGGTACAAGACAACAAGTGATGTAAATTTATTGTACAAATAGTATATATATATATATATATAATCTTATTTGGATATTAAAAAATTACTGCATACGTATATATATATAGTACCGTGTTGTTCATAAATTCTTTAAGTGCAAGAACAATAGTCGTGGGCGCAATTTGGATTTGTGTTTGTACCACAGACGGAGATGCAGAAATTTTTACATTTAATCGCATCGACAGATCCCGGGTCGTCGTTCTTGGCGCAACTGATCTGTAAGTTACTACTCAGACAACGAGCATCACTTGAAGGACTCATCACCCCAACTGCATGCATGCATGCATTCATTCAATATATACATACATATCAATGCCCATTAATTATTCGATATCATTTTTCTTCTTCTTCTTTTTTTTTACTCTTGTTAAACAAGTAATCACACTATATATGACTAAAACATAGAGAAAGTACAAAAATAGGAGTTGTATATTTTTATTCTTTAAATGGAAATTCGCACTATGGTAATGTGACACTTTTATTGGAAATACACGTATATTTTAGGCAAGATTATTTATTTAATTAAGGTTTGTTGTTTATGGTAGCTAGAATTATTCTCTCCTTATTTTTAGCTTTGCCTTGTATAGAGACCTTCCTTGTAGAAGAGTCTTCTCTTTACCTTGTATATATGGAGCAATCCTTCTTGAATACAAACATGATATTACTCCTAAATCAGTTTCTTCAACTGTACATATGCATTTTACGTAATGTACATGGTCATGATTTGTAATGTAAATATATTTTAACTCATATTTCAGGAATAAAAACATAGAATTCTTATTTTGGTATATTTGATAATAGAGGACTAAATAGGGAAACCCCCCTGTTATAAAGGACTAATTATGGAATTTACTCTAAATTTAATATCAATATATTTCTAATGAATCATAATTTTGAAATATCAAAATTTTATAAAATATACCTATGTATAAGTATAGTTATTAATGGTCAAAATGTAGCATTGGAAATCGTGACAAGTCAAATGAGAAGAAAATTTCCGGATAGAGGGAGTATATAAAGTTTTAANATAAAAAAAGACCACTAGGGTAGTATTTGATAATAGAGGACTAAATAGGGAAACCCCCCTGTTATAAAGGACTAATTATGGAATTTACTCTAAATTTAATATCAATATATTTCTAATGAATCATAATTTTGAAATATCAAAATTTTATAAAATATACCTATGTATAAGTATAGTTATTAATGGTCAAAATGTAGCATTGGAAATCGTGACAAGTCAAATGAGAAGAAAATTTCCGGATAGAGGGAGTATATAAAGTTTTAATAATTTTTTTCTTTTGATTTTGACATCAGATTTATTTTGATTTTTCAATTTTTAAATTTCAATTTTTTTTATTTTAATCTTTTTACATATAATATTGAAATATCTTTCAAGAAAACTAATTTTAAAAAATTAGTTTTTCTAACAGCCAAGTCCAAAAGATACTCTCTTTGGCTTTCCGAATTTTGACTTTTCAGATCAAACTGTCAAGTGAAAAAGCCATTATTCAAACACCGATTTTAGTTGTTCAATTAGTGAGATAACACTTTTTAAACTATTAGGTCTTCTATGTGACACTTTAACCATTAATATGCATGTATGTATGTATGTGTGTGTGTATATAATTAATAAATTTTATAAAAAAATATGATATTTCAAAATTATAATTAAAAACAAATCAAATAATTTAAATTTATATTATTATTCAACATATTGTTTTTTAAATTTCATGGTCAAAGTTTTTAATTTTGATCCTAAAAAATCGAATTAAAACTTTTTTTGGAACGGAATGATTGATTCAATTTAAGAACAATATTTTAAATGACATTAGTATGTGTAGATTAGTTAAATTAAATAAAGATAAAGAGATAGGGCCATTATGCAATTTTAAAAGTTAAAATGATGTGGCTAAAAAGTCCATATGGAAGCAATTTAGTGGGAGGACATCCATGCCCCTTCATTAGCAAAGGCACCAGAGAAATTCCCTTATAAAATAACAACAAAATTACTCATTTTAAAGGCACGCCTTTTTTCAAACAGAAAAGGTTTTATAGGAGGCGAGGAGTATTATTAACTATTGAAGTGTTACATCGAAAGATGAGAAAAATCAAATAGAAAAAAAAATAATCTTTAAAAAAAGGAGAGAAAAAGAAATGAGGGAGGGAGTATTCTCTCATAATTTTAGAGAAACTATTGAAGTTTTACCTAAGATAAAAAACACCATAGCCACCGAAATGACAAGGAGGTATCCCAAGGATGATGATGATGAGCAGTTATTCTTCGCCATTTAAATGAGGGAATGAATTTCTTTTTTATTTTCTTGTGATCGATTTCCTAGTCCTTGGGGAGGCTATATATAGAGCCAAAAGGTTTTGTAATAATAATCCCTCCATTTAAGGATCTTTCATTTCATTTTGTCTAAAAAAAAAAAAACTCCCCATCACAAACAAATTTCCTTAAAACATTAGGCAGTTGGAGCCACATGGGCTTATTCGTCTGCAGAACATGGGCTTAGCAGAATTACGCTCCTGTTTGTCAATCCTAGGGAGGGTTAATTAGAATTACACTCTTTAGCAAATTTAGGGTTAGATATGTTTTTTGTCCTTGTAAAATAGATTATCTTTATTTTTTGGTCCTTGTAAAATGGTCTTTAAAAATAATTCACATTTCTAATTTGTTGAGATAACCCATTTATTTCGTACTAAACTCTGTGGTCTTGTATATCTAGATTATCTACTACCTGTGATATAATTCATATGCCCTATATTGAATCTTTATTCATACTCGCGCATTACCCGTGCGATGTACGGGAAGAAAAAAAGTTATCCTAATTGTGAAAAACTTGTAAAATATTTAAAAATATTGAATATTAGTTTATAAATAGTTGATAGGTACGCATTTCCATTTATAAATATTATTATTAATTTAATTTTAAATAGACATACAAAGTATAAAAGAGTGAGTTTTAGAGTATATAATACTCCCTCCGTCCTCTAAAACATGAGAGTTTTGATTTTGAAGAGAGATTTAAGGGAAATGTATTTTGGTATTGAATTTCCAAAAATGTCCTTTGATGTGATGAGTAAAAGTATGATTTGATGGATAGATTATTAGTAAAAAAGTATGATGTGATAGATAGGGTATGAAAAAGTAAAGGGTAAAAGTGACTTTTTAATAGAAATGAGAAGTGTTTTTTGGAACGGATGAAAAAAGAAAGGAGAAAGGTTTTATGAGACGGAGAGAGTAATACATTTAATAGATTTTATGAGACGGAGGGAGTAATACATTTAATAGAGTAATTTCAGAGTTACATATCATTATTTTTAAACTCGCTCAGGAGCATACCCTAAACATCGCCACATACAGTTTTTCGTTGCTGAAAACTAGTATTTTCAAGAACAGGTCGACATGAGAGGTAGAGAATTTCTCTATCTTGAAAATTGTCTTTTTTTGGAACTTAAATGCCAATATCATATCTGAAGGAGTTAATGAAAATCGCAAGATCAAAACAGTTTGTCCTACATTTTTCCACGAATCATCTTTGCTTCCAATAGATGGTTACCAAGTTTTGTAACAATTAATCGTGTTTCGTTGCACAAATCGTTAGCATGACCAATGTTACACAAAAACATTATTAGAGTCTCAACTTTTAGTGTTAGATATGGACTTCAAGATCCCGTATCTTTCGATTTACATTTTTTATTTTTTTCATTGAATTTCATCTTGAGTGGGTCTCCGATAACAGATTAAATTCTATAAATTTCTTTTAGGGTTGGAAAACCATTTTTTTTCTAAAATTAGAATTAAGTGTTTTAATTTTGCATAATTTGTGATTCTTTTCACAAAATATAAACATTTGTATAGTATGTGGTCACTCAGATTTATATATAATGTTAAAATTTGTAGATACTTAATATGTTTTCTGCTCGAAATTTGGGATGATTTTAATACAGTTAATTGTAATTGTTCCAAATCCAAATCTTGGCGGGGCAACGGGAAATTCCACCCGGCCACTTGTTGCAGCCACGGTGGTGTTCTCCTTCGAAATTGGAATAAAATGAAGAGCCCGTGAGGATAGTTGTCCCATATTTTCTCTTATTGGCTTCCTAGAATTTGATGAAATGAATAGTATCTTGGCGTGGCTACCCGGAAATTGACACCGTAGAAGTAGCCATGGCGGTCTAATTTTTTTTTTTCTTCTAAAAAATATACTCCCTCCGTTCCACAAAATTCTTCCTCCTTCGTTTTTTTGCTTTCCACAAAACACTTCAACTTTCTATTAAAAAACCACTTTTAGCCATACCTTTTCAAAACGCTAACACTAATCGCGATCTAACGCTGATGTCAAACGGGGACATAGCCAAAATCCGACCCTCACGTTTATCAGTTCTCGTTTATTACGGGTCGATCATGCATCACAATTTTTTTTTGGACCTAAGGGAAATGAATTAAATATTATATCGATAAGGATATATTGGTATTAAATTCATATCATGTTCGAAACGCGGATAATTCGATATAGGAACTCTTTTTAGATATATTGCAAAACAACTACAAGCGGTTTAAACATGGGATCGATACACGTATTTATTGTGCAAGCAAATTAAGTAGTTTAATTAATCTTATTCGAGTAGAAGACATTAGAAAATTATCTAGTGTTAATTAAACTTGTTTTCATGATTTATAACAAGAACAATAGCTTGTTTTTTGGAGGCAAGATTCTGTATTTGGACCACATGTGGATGTGCAGAAATCTTTACATGAAATGGAGAGTCGTCCTTAGCGCAATTGATCCTCGTGTTTATACGGGAACAAGGAACACCATCACTTTAGGGAATTTCTCTGGTGCCTTTGCTAATGAAGGGGCATGGATGCCCTCCCACTAAATTGCTTCCATATGGACTTTTTAGCCACATCATTTTAACTTTTAAAATTGCATAATGGCTCTATCTCTTTATCTTTATTTAGTTTAACTAATCTACACATGCTAATGTCATTTAAAATATTGTTCTTAAATTGAATCAATCATTCCGTTCCAAAAAAAGTTTTAATTCGATTTTTTAGGATCAAAAATAAAAACTTTGACCATGAAATTTAAAAAACAATATGTTGAATAATAATATAAATTTAAATTATTTGATTTGTTTTTAATTATAATTTTGAAATATCATATTTTTTTATAAAATTTATTAATTATATACACACACACATAGAAGACCTAATAGTTTAAAAAGTGTTATCTCACTAATTGAACAACTAAAATCGGTGTTTGAATAATGGCTTTTTCACTTGACAGTTTGATCTGAAAAGTCAAAATTCGGAAAGCCAAAGAGAGTATCTTTTGAACTTGGCTGTTAGAAAAACTAATTTTTTAAAATTAGTTTTCTTGAAAGATATTTCAATATTATATGTAAAAAGATTAAAATAAAAAAAAATTGAAATTTAAAAATTGAAAAATCAAAATAAATCTGATGTCAAAATCAAAAGAAAAAAATTATTAAAACTTTATATACTCCCTCTATCCGGAAATTTTCTTCTCATTTGACTTGTCACGATTTCCAATGCTACATTTTGACCATTAATAACTATACTTATACATAGGTATATTTTATAAAATTTTGATATTTCAAAATTATGATTCATTAGAAATATATTGATATTAAATTTAGAGTAAATTCCATAATTAGTCCTTTATAACAGGGGGGTTTCCCTATTTAGTCCTCTATTATCAAATACTACCCTAGTGGTCTTTTTTTAT